TAATTCAGTAAGGCCCAACTAATCCCCTCAAGACCCTATTCTGAACCATCTTGAATCTAGTTCCTTCTGTTAGGTTTGAAGATGCAACTTCGCATCCTTATAAAAGAAGACGTGAAGTTATATAGGTTCATATATTTACGTCATTGATTTTTTAGACAGGAAACGGGTAAGTAACATGTTTAGAAGGGAATGAAAGAAAATATTCCCTGAAATTAATTTTGCGTTAACATATCGTGAATGTAATTCTAATGACGATGCAACTTGCCAGAGTTCATATGTTTTACAATATGCATGTACCTGTTGAACCCTGGGGGCACCATGTTACAAGCCGGAAGATATCGGGATCGATTCCCAGTGACGTCATTGGAATTTTCAATTGACCTAATCCTTTCATCCGAACTATGACCCTAGGGTCGACTCAGCCTCTTAACAGAAATGAGTACCAGGAATCTTCCTGGGGTGTAAAGGGCGGCAGGTGTGTAAGGCTGACAACCTTACCGCCATCTATGAGCCGATTGTCTAGAGAAAATGTGGGAGCCTCGACCTCTCACAACCCTATGGGCCTCCACGGCCTGTTACAAGGATAGCTTTACCTATATTGTGACTCAGTAATTGAAGGCCCACTCTAATATACGAGAAATATATAAAGGTCTGAATAAATGGCAGGCAATTGCCATAGGCATATTAATACTGTGATGAAACAAGCAGCTCTGTGTGATGTAGTGTATTTACATATGCTGTAAAGCTTGATGAAAATGAAAGACTCGTTTCATATATAATGGGACCTTTAATTTGGAGAGGGCAAACTACTACTGTAAACAGAAGTTGATTCAGGTAATTGGTTATTTGGATGGGTAGGTAACAGGGTGCTGAGGCAATTATTTGGTTGAGTTAATTGTTTGTTAGTTGTCAATATCATTGTTTATTTGGTTTGTAACAATTAGGTACTAATTTCTGTGGTTTCTTACGCAGTTCTTTATTTCGTTGTCGGGTGTGCATATAATTAGTCTCGAGTGTGATTACTCTGTTGGATGTTTAGGTAATTTCTTATCAAAGTATTTTTTTGTTTGTGATATTTTTTCATTTGAGCTGCTTAGTTCACACACACACACAGTGTTGATGCAGTCAGGGAATAATGTTAATTTTAAAATGTTAATTTCCTTGTTGTCGAGCACGCAATATCACAATTACTGCGCTGTTTCTATCGATTGCACAGTCAAAGTTGCTACGGTGTTAAACATGAACTTGATAATCGGTATGTAACCTTGTAAGTGGTAAAAACGTCAGCTCAAATCTGTAGCTGTCCTGAATAGAAGCAAACATTCATCTTAAACCTTTCAGAAACTTGTGGTGACATGTGCAAAGCCATACAAAGTAAACGGAGCGAACATATAGGCCTAATGCAATAAATGTTTACCTCCGGACAACATATGAGCTAGTTTCTTTTTCAGGTAGTGTGGACTGTAAATAGCACGCTGCTGGGACTGTACTCTACAGAAGTGACTTAAATCTGATCAGTGTGATTACTGTTAGCTGTTAGGAAAATATGGACTTTTTTGTGAGCTTTCGCTCAACAAGGCCATTTTAAACTAAATTAACCGATCAGCCACTGAACCCAGAATGGAGTTAGGTCATGCACATGGGGGTTGAGCTGGGGACTAAATTTAGTATTCTTGGGAAAACAAAAATGCCTATAGAGATTTAGCTCGAAAACGTGAAATTTAAGACCTTTCAGGACACCCAGGTTTAGATTTCTTTTTCCTTGGCACTACAGCCCCAGTGGGCCTAGGCCTACCTCCATGAATTTCTCCGTTCACTACGGTTTTTCTAGATCTTACACATTCGGTAGGACTCCTTGGGCGGGTGATCAGCTCATCGCAAGGCCTCTCCCTGTACACAAACACAGAAAAACGGACACACACACACAAAAAACATCCATGTCCTATGTGGGATTCGAACCCACGATCCCGGCTTCCGAGCGAGCGAAGACAGAGCATGCCTTAGACCACTCGGCTACTCTGACCGGCAGTGTATAAGAATAATATATAAGAATTCAGTTCGCACCTCACAGGAAACAGATCCGAACCCACGATCCCGGCTTCCGAGCGAGCGAAGACAGTACATGCCTTAGACCGCTCGGCTACCGTGACCGGCAGGTTTAGATTTAACAGTGCTCAAAATTTGCTTTAAAAAGCAAGAGATAAGATATGAGCTGGATTCATCTGGCCCAGGGTAGAGATCAGTGGTGGTGCCTTGTAAAGAAGATAAAAAACCACTTGTTTCATAAAAGGTAGGATATTTTAAGCAGATGAGCGACTATTAGCTTCTAATGAAGAAAAATTCTTCGTGCAGTTAGTTACGTAGCTAGTTCTTCCTTTTGGTTATGATATAACAAGTTATAATAGCTCTCTGATATATGAAACTCGTCAGTTCCAGTGACTGCCCCGCTTAAGAGCAACATCACGAGTGTGAATTCCCGTCAGATCCATGGACGATTATTGCAGTCTTACCTGTTTATGTGCGACAACCAAACGAAAGTGCCCTACGGCACGTCTAAGTGGAAATAGACAATACTACAAGGAAAAGTAGACCCTGGCTATGGGCAAATAATCACATCGGTTCATCAGTGGAAAGACGAATTAGGTTGAACATTTTAAATTTCGTGACTTAATTTCTTGGAACGATATTCCAAATTCACTTTCAAGTTAGGCGTGTTCCGCTCTTAATTTCAATTCTCCATAGACAGCCTCGCTATAGAGCACATGCCTCATTTGAAGTGCCATGCCGCAACTACAGCATGTCTCGCAATTGAGTAGGTTCGTCCTGTTACTAACTGACTGATAATAATATAGAGCGGATTTATCGAATTCCCAGAAAATCCAAATAATTGTAACCCCAGGCTGACCAGAACATTCCAGAGACAATTATGGCCAAGGCTACTCGCTGAAATATCAGAAGTTTCAATTTAAATTTAGTTACAATGAATTCGGAAATAATTTTAAAATGCATTCGATTATTCACCGGGAAGACTTCTGTTTTCTATAAGTCCTACCAGTCAGACGGCGGATAGAATCGTGACACTGCTTGGTAACGTCCCGATGAACAGGTTTCCGCAACAATAGAGGAATTCCTGGAAACGGTGTTTTCTGTGCTGTCCATTCCGAGGTTATAGAAGATGGCCACCGGCCGAGTAGACAGTCCACCCGTGTGGAGGCGGTGTCGAATACCTCCACCGTGACCCTGCGAGTCATAGGAGGCGACGACAAGGGAAGGCTCAAAGGTGAAACAGTAAAATATGGTCGCGAGTACCAAGGGACTTGGACCCGAGAAAGACTGTGCTGGTAAGGGCCAGCAGCATATACAAAAGACAGACCCGTCTTCTAGTCAGAGAGGAGGCGGTACAGAAACAAGACCGTAACTGTCAAACGGTAGTAATTAATCTGGGGCTCGACACCAAGACTTACTGACTGACTGACTGACTGACCATCAGTCGCAATGTGAATTTGACTTTGACTTTGACTTTGACTTTGAGTAGACAGTCATTGGGAGTATTCCGTGTGGAGGCGGGTTCGAATACCTCCACCGTAGCCTTGCGAACCGTAGGAGGCTACAGAAAGGGAACCCAGTACCTGGGGGTACAACTGGGCCACTCATTTCCTGGATGATATAAATACGGGGACCTGGCCCTCCAGGTTGAGGAGTCTCGATTCTGAGCGAGTAAAATGTGGTCACGAGTTTCGCTGAACTCGGACCCGAGAATGACTGCTCTGGCGAGGGCCAGTGGCAATTGTATACGACAGACTCATCCTCTCGTCCGACAGGTTGTTACATAAGGACTATGATCGCAAAGGTTTAGTTTAAAAAAATGCTGGTTGCGAGTCTCAAGGGGCTTTGCGCCAAGACTAACTGATTGGCGGTAAACCGCTGGTCGTAAAGTAACTCTGACTCTTACTTTGACTGTCAACAGTCAGTCATGAGATGAGAGTTAGTCGCCGTCATGAGTTAGTTGTGAGCTGGCTAAAGGCCTGCAACGATGTGAGTAGAAGAGGCTACTGTTGGAATCAGTTACCAGGCAACGACTGGTTAAGACATAGCAAATTGAGAAGACAGCATGTGCTGTAGTGAGAAGTAGAATGCGTGAATTATTAAGTTATAATAACTTGCAGTTACGGTTTGTAAGTGTTCAATAGAATGAATAACCAATCGAAGCCCCGTGTTTAGTCACTACAAGTGACAGTATCTTAAAATAAGTCATGAACTCTTCCTATCTGTTCCTTTCCAAATCCCACAACTGCCATTGAATTGATTGCTTCAGTAGCATCCCGTCAGACTTGTAATATTTCTGCCATAGCACCTGTTTTCTGGCTTCTCGGTTTTGCCGGGCCTACCAGTCCAGTGCTTCAAGTGTACTTTGAAACAGGTGAAGAGTGTTGCCTTCTCCGTACCTTAAAATTCTGTCTGCTTGAACTTTCCAGCATTCATTTGCCAGTAATTAAATTCGCTTAGTTGGGGGTGGAGTCCAGTTGGGTCCACTCGGCACGGCGGCCACTGATTGACCTATTGTAGCCTGTCCCGGGTGATTATGATGACGGAGAATTTGTTGGAATGAAGACTGACAGGGGAAACCGAAGTACTCGGAGAAAACCCACCCCTGCGCCACTTTGTCCACCACAAATCCCACTTGACCAGACCCCGGGATCGAACCCAGGCCGCCGTGGTAGGAAGCCAATGACTAACCGCTTGAGCTATGGCGCGGCCAACATTAGCCACTAACCCCTGAAATGAATATGGCGTTATGAAAGAACTATCACCATGAGCACCTCGTGAACAAGTGCCATTTGGGATCGAACAAAATATCTCTGCATCGCTTGGTGACAACAATAATCAGGACGGAACTATTGTGACGTCAGAGGGTTCTGCGCCTTGAACGGCAAGGGGCGGGCCCTCGCGCAGGACCCATCCCGGCGCTCTCTCGACGCCACAAGAGTTTCAGTCGGGCGCCGGTAGAGACCTGTGCAACAGAGCATACCTCTCCCTCCTGCCAGGAGACCTCGACACGGTGGATCAGGACCATCAGGACAGTGCTACAGTGACAGGAGGACATGACAATTATAACATTCGCTTGACTTGTCCCATAGGTCGTCGGTAGTATAGGGACGTACTGTCTGTCATTTATATATTCGGACGTGTTGACGCTTGTCTGTGCTCGCGATGTATTTCAGACATGGTAACAAATGTAAACGTGCTTAATGCTAAGTTTTGCCAGAGATATAACTTGGTCCTTAGGTTCTAAAGTTGAAAGATGTGATCTCAGGTTGTGATTTGTTAATTAGTGCTGCAAGTTTTCGCTGTGTAAGCCTCTTCTTTGTACCACGTTAAACAAAAGCAACACAGTCAATATTTCAAGAAGGAACTGAAGGTGATTGTTATATACAATGTATTATATTTTTGTTTGTCTGTCTGTCTATCTTTATATCTTTTTAAGTTGATCCTCTATTGACTTTTTTTCCCCCCCTTAGCTATGTAAAGTTTTCTGCTTACTAAACCTGTAGATGCTCGGTGAAACACTTTGGATGAGATACCTGCCAAGTGTCTTAAGAGATAAAGTGCTGACACTCGTTGAAGTCGCTGTCAGTTTCGAACCGGCAAACCTCCTTTTGGTAATGTTATCATAACAGAGTTCTCTTGTTGCTGCGCTGCTGTGCAGAGTACCTAACCACTCCCACACGTTCTGTTCGAGAACGCCATGTCCGGCTTCTTGCAATTCGGACGTCCCATTCAGAGTATCAACATTTCGTGTTGTTTGTCTTTTTGAAAAAGTCGTCCACGCAAATGTCGTGTTTCATACAATTATGTCACAAAATTACTATTTACTGCTCACGTGTTAACATTAATAGAAATACGTCACTTACATGTCATGTATCAAGTGCGGAACACTCCAAAAGGCGGCGAAGATTAGTGACGATAAGCCCTTGGCTTATTTTAAGGTTCCGTCCGGTTCGAACCTCAGGTTTTTAGTTAAGTTCCTATGCACTCTGACAAATATTTCGGAATAAAGCTTGAATTAAATACTATTTGCTTTTATTTTTCTCAGTGGCGGCTCTGTTTAGAAAACTTGCTGTATTTGAACCATTAATTTGTAGACTGTTTCTCCGACGTTACCATGAAAGCCCTTGGTGCCTCCTTTCCTTGCACGCTTCGTATGCTCATGTAGGAAACTTTTGTCTTTAATAATTAACCAATTCAGTTTGCTACGTATATCCCCAGCTAAAATTCAAAATTTCGCCGGAAGATTGTATACACGGATGTCGTTTGGTTTTCAGAATAAATTGTGATCCTTTCTGTTAGCAGCATTGAGTGTCCGTTGTAATGGAGATGCGGTGTCTTTTCTGGAGACATATAACTAATTCTTAAATATTACACAAATGGGTTTTATACTGCAGAGTGCTAAATGTTCCATATACCTTCTTTAATATTATCTTATTCATGTATCAACTCTTTCCATGGTGGAACTTGTTTAAATATCTCCTGCTAGTATGTAGCTGTATTAATAAACTTCTGATGTTAAAAAGACGAGGTCACTTGGTTGTGGATTGCAAGAGATATTTCTTTACATAATCACAAACCCCGAGTAAAATCAGATATGGCAAGCCATTGTTTGCAAAGGAAATGCCATGGAAAGGGTGCGTAATTGAATATTGCTCTGGAGAAATTCTTACTATTGGAGATAGCAATGCTGTTTTGAAACACTGTGTAGTGTGACAACTGCCTTGCAGCGCCAGCGTTTACACTCTCTGTGCTTGAGATTATAGAGCGACAGTGTGTGTTCTACGAAGGTCGCTATCAACTCAGGGAAGGGGGCAGCAGCGGTTGAACTGTTCTTACGACGGCGGGCAAACGTTGGCGGCAGTTGCAGTGAAGATGAGGTTATATTCGCGATTCGTGGATTTGTTTCAGACGTACTACTGGGCTGAATGAAACTAAAAATGTTGTTTTTACGTGTCATCAGACTTTCTGACATGCTTATGACTCATTCTATAGCTAAGTGTTGACGTGGTAATATTATATTATGATAGAGATATTTTGCTACGTACGCGATGTGGCGACAGACACTCTGAGTTTCGTGTATCATGCAGTAGTTTATGTCTTGCGTGGATGCTAATGAAGTCACTGAAATTGTGTGGTGATTAAATATTGACAGTTCAGATTTCAAACTGCGTTGTTGTGACAAGAGTGTGAACACAGTGGAATGGGCCAGAGAATGTGACATTATCGTAACTTTATTAGTGAATACTGGACTGCATTTGTGATTTGCTTCCTAGGAACTAGGAACAATAGCAATTTTCCACTGCAACAGTTCTCTGACTACACCTTCATAACACTGAATTTGATTGACGGCACAAAAGGGGAAGGACGGAAAGCCTGACAGACACCATTCAGACGAGCAGACTTCCCTCCCCCCATCAACTCCTGCGAGGCTCATCGTCTCAGAAACCAACAAGGTTAGGTGAGTCATGTTTCTTGCTACATAAACTAGCTTATATATATAACATAACCTCACTTTCTGCCGAAAGAAATACATCAGAAGCTGGTATGTGCGTGTTATGTTAATTTATTAGACGAAAAGGCAAATATAAATGTAACTAACATGCTGTTTGAAAATGCCGCAGAGTTCAAGTACTACAGAAACCAAATGAACAGTGAGGCAGTACGTATATAATATACTTAAATATCAGCAGTAAAAAAAAAGATAAGTAGTTATTCGCGATTATATTACCAGCAGATAAAACGCAGGGAATCCTTTGTCTTTCACTGTCCTATTTAGAAACTCAACAAGAAAATCAGGTGGGACTGCATTTAAATGGGACACATCAGCTGCTGGACTATGATGATGGTGTGAATCTACTTTTTTCCCCCCTTGGCACTACAGCCCCAGTGGGCCTAGGCCTACCTCCATGAACTCCGTTCACTTCGGGTTTTCTAGATCTTACATATACGATAGGACTCCTTGGGCGAGTGATCAGCTCGTCGCAAGACCTCTACCTGTAGACAAACACAGAAAAACGCACACAAACATCCATGCCCTGAGTGGGATTCGAACCCACGATGTCAGCTCCCGAGCGAGCGAAGACAGTGCATGCCTTAGACCGCTCGGCTACCGTGACCGGCGGTGTGAATCTACTGGGAGATAAAAATACCATAAAGAAAAGCACACAAACTTTATTTGATGCTAGTAATAAGGTTGGTCAAGAAATAAACACAGAGAAAAGAAAGTATATGTTGCTGTCTCGTCACCAAAATGCAGGGCAAAATCAGGACATAAAGATAAGTAACAAATGTTTCGAAAATGTGGCACAGTTCAGATAATTGGGAACGACTGTAACAAATGAAAACCTAATTCAGGAGGAAATTAAGAGGAGATTGAATTCGGATAATGCTTGCTACCATTCAGTCCAGAACCTTTGGTCTTCCTGTCTGCTCCCTAAAAACATAAAAATTAGAATACACAAAACTATAATCTTGCCTGTAGCTCTGTATGGGTATGCAAATTGGTCTCTGACATTAAGTTAGGAAAACAGACTGAGGGTGTTTGAGAACAGAGTGTTGAGGAGAATATTTGGACCGAAGGGAGATGAAGTAACAGGAGGTTGGAGAAAACTGCATAATGAGGAGCTTCATAACTTGTACTCTTCTCCAAGTGAAATTAGAATGATCAAGTCAAGGAGGATGAGGTGGACAGGGCATGTAGCACGAATGAGGGAGAAGAGGAATGCATATATGATATTGGTGGGAAAGCCAGAAGGAAAGAGACCACTAGGAAGACCAAGGCGTAGGTGGATGAACAGTATTAAAATGGTTCTTAGAGAGATAGGATGGGATGGTATGGATTGGTTTGATCAGGCTCAGGATAGGGACCAGCAACTGATGCCGTCTGTTTAATTTCAGTCCCACCTGGTTTTTCTGGACCTTTATAATGGCATATTATAAAGCAAAGTTGAAAAAGAGTGGCGATTATTCATCTCCTTGTTATAGACCATTATGGTTCGGAAAATTATCAGACAGGTGTTTACCTATACGGTCTGTACTATACGCATCGTTTAAACACGTTGTAATCTGCCTGACTAGTTGCATGAGTATCCAAACTCTATCATAGTATTGTACAACACTTCCCTCCTAACTGGTAACTCCTCTTAAAGTCATTTATTCGTCTATACAGGTCTCTATGTTCTTGTTCTTACTGTTCACTGCCAGCGCATCAGTTTTGTCTTTCAGATTGTCGCCATTTCTTTTTGCTTGGATGCTGTAACTACTGCAATTTGGCTTGTTTTCTTTGTTCTAATAATTTTTAGCATCCTTCATCGAACTATGGCTTATGATTCTTCAGTTCATAAGAACCTAGACTATCTCGGGCAGAAATTTTGATATTCTCTCTAATAGTTTCTCAAGCTTTATTAATATGCACCTCAGTGTCTAAGTTTTCCAAAGCTGCTAACCTATTTCACGTGTATAATATTAACTTCTAGGAAGATATATTTCCTTTCAAATATACACGCGTTCTTGAGCTGCCAGAACACCCTGTCAGCGTCAGCCCCGCGTATTTGTAGCTTTTGGAGAGACAGCGTCCTGTATATTAAGTCATCAGGGGGTGTCGTGGTCACCCACCCTGGGGATACCTTACCTATGAGTTCCAGTGACCAGAGAAGGAACAGGTACAGCAATTCTGTAGATCAGCTGTAAGGTTGTTCGGAACAGCGTCCTAAGAATTATGTAAAGTACGCACGTCATCGGCACTATGCTATAAGCCGGAAGGTCGCGGGTTCGATTCCCGATAAGGTGGATTATTCAATTGACCTAATCCTTCCAGCCGCACTATGGCCCGGGGGCCGACTCAGCTTCTAAATAAGTACCAGGAATCTTCCTGGGGGGTAAAGGCCGGCCGGCGCGTAAGAATGACAACCTTTGCCCGGGGATCAGCCCGTCGCAAGGCTGCTACTACACACAGAACAACACAGAATAAACACACACAGACATCCATGCCTCGAGTCGGATTCGAACCCACGATCCCAGTGTTCGAGCTGCCGAAGACTGTTCATGCCTTAAACTGCGCGGCCAGTGTGATCGGCCCTAATAACATGAACCCACTTAAACAATATCGCTGTACGCTTACTATATTAAATTTCAGTTTACGATGCATGTTGTTCAGCTGCAGAGAACAGAAGCCACATCTGCCTACCAGTATGATATATTTTATCGCTACCTGCTCGCTACGTTGCTACGTGCAGCCAGTAGACATTTTCAATGATACCTTATCCTTCAGCCTCCCCGCAAGCTTTTACTCGCGTGACGTACGCAAGGCAGGGGCAGAAGATACCGTGGAAAGGCAAGAAGATAAAATACTGCATGCGCGAATGACCAGTAAGTTTCGTCGAATGCACCAAATATAATTTAAGAACATAAAAGATTGACTTTATATTCTTCGGCTACTGCTGGTCTTCATCAGAAGGTGTAGCTGACGCTAAGAGGAATACTTTGTATGTATGTTGAACATGGATTGCCGTAAGGGGATTCTACAAGCATTTGAAATCGAGACTAGGCTAACATATTAAGGTGAATATAAATAAGCGAAGATAAAACGAAGATAACAATTTGTCTATGTACTTAATTAGTTAAGCACTACGCCATGAAGAATTACGGGGAAATGGAAGTATAGGTTCACCATTCTTGACGTCAGCATTAGATGGAGGTGAATTTTCAGCTTCAGGTTCCAGCCGCTTAACCCCCGGGGAAAGAGCCCCTGGTGTCCCGTTGGATAGCAGTCTGAGTGGGTCCCAGAGCCGGTCGGGACGTCATGGAGAAGAGAAAAAGCAGTTGTCCCTGTCGGGAATCGAAGCCAACCGACCAGGCCGTAGTCCGTGATTATCCCGATTGAGGCATCGCGTATCCTAATTAAAAATAGACAGTGTTATTGAAATAATTAGTTTCACTTAACATTAATTCAGAATTTTGATATTTAATGTATATAAGCGGTTGTGTTCATGTACTCCCTACATGTTCATGTATCGAGAGATGTAACGGCTAACGGCTGAAGATATCGCTTAAGACAAAGCACCACGTGTTATCACATGGTAAGTGTGGCTATAGACGGGGTTCTGGATTTATTGAACTCTTAAACAACTCGTGACTACACGTTACGGATCACTGTCACACAAAGACTGTTGTTCTCAGTCACGGTCTTCACTGCTCTGCTCGGCAGCGTCTTCCAACAGTGGACTTTCCTCTGCTTCCAGGCTCACGTCCTCGCAGGCTGGCGGCCCTCTCACACCATCCACCTACTCTTCTAATTATCCTCTCAAGATTGTCCCGCAATCAAGTCAAGTGACTGACGGTCAACAGTAAGTCTTGGTGTCGAGCCCCATCTGAGGCTCATGACCACATATTTATTACTCTTTTGACAGTTACGGTCTTGCTTTTGTGGGGCGCCCTCTCTGACAAAAGGACGGGTCTGTCTTTTGTATTTGCTGCTGGCTCTTGCCAGCGCAGTCTTTCTCTGGTCCGAGTCACTTGGCACTAGCGACCATATTCTGCTGTCTCACATTTGAGCCTTCCTTTTTCGTCGCCTCCTACGAATCGCAGGGTCACGGTGGAGGTATTGGATCCCGCCTCCACACGGGGATATCATATCACGGGGATAATTGCAGCTGGTTCTCGTTATATAGCTTTGGCACGGACGCCACATAAATCGTCGCTTCCAACAGTTCTTCTATTGCTTGTGTATCTGTTGCGGCGATCACGTGACGGCCACTGAGTCGTCGTCTAGCAACGAGCATGTTTGCAGACCCGTTCCCTGACAACGGCTGTCTCGGCTGGCTTCACAACTCTGGCTTTTACCAGACGTGCCACAGTATTCTTAAGCACAGCACGAGATTGTCTTTAACTCAGTATAAAGCACCCATCATACATTGTGCAGGAGCCAAAGTTGCAGAATTCAGAGCACACGTTGTCCGCCACTTTTGTGACACAGTAGTCATGGGAGACTTGGTTCAGCTTTTTTTTTATTGCTAGTTGGGTGGGACTAAGTCCCTTGTACTGCGGCCACTTCTGGCCTGTTGTACCAGCCCCAGATGATAGGTGAGAGTGAAGGAAACCGAAGTACTCGGAGAAAACCTACCCCAGCGCCACTTTGTCCACCACAAATCCCACTTGACCAGACCCGGGATCGAATCCGAACCGCCGCGGTGGGAAGCCAGCGACTAACCGCTTGAGCTATGGCGTGGCATATTGGTTCAGGTTACGTTCTCATAGCACGTCAGTAGAGCCAGAGTGGCGCCACTGATGTCCTTGGCACAACATTCAGTCCCGTAATGATGTGTAAGGGAACGACCGCTATTTAAACTGAGAACCGAGTTTCAGAACCCTGGGGCACATGCCACTGCAGTGAATCAGGACATGGTTCAGGGTTCAGAAAAGCAGAGAAGTGTGGACCTAGGACGGTTTTGCCGGGAGTGA